AATAGAATAAGAAATTTCATGTTGGGATGCATGATAATTCAAGAGACAACATAGAGATGAACGAGCTTTGAGCTTTGTGAAAGATCTTTATGCTCAAGAGTTATTATAGAATAATATTTTTAGATAATATATGATCTAAAAATGTCACACTAACAACAACTTGATCGAAATATATTATTCTATAAGAATTTGATTCTTAATAAATAAATATAATTCTTGTAATTAATTGGAAATTATTTATATTTGGGAAAATAATATTGTTTCAATATAAGTATCATAATATATCATAAGGTATGATTTATTAAATAATACACATCGTTTTCTACTAGAAACGATTTTATCTTCAGCTAAATGGATAATGCCTTATACCTTATAAAAGACTTAAAGGTTGTTTTTAAAATCTTCTTTCTTTTCTTTATAAAAAAACATGAGCTAGTCATGGTGTAAGAGAATATGGTATGTTGATTATAATATTCAAAGGGACATGCTTTAGAAGCATGTCTTGAAAATATTATTAAGATATAGGCTTTAGAGGCATGTTGCTAAAAATGTTAAGATCCATGAAATAAAAATTTGGATAAAATCCTTAAGAAAGGCTTTCATTAGATCATTCTAATGAGCCAAGACAACAAAACTTTGCTCTTTCCTTGTCAATATCCTCTCTATCTTCTCTTTTTGTAAATGGTTAAGTCATAAGAATATGTTTGATGCTTTACTTGAACTCTCTTGTGACATCCCCAATTTTACGACCAATTTAAAACTTTTTCTTTATGATTATTTAAAACAAAGTAATCTTTTATTAGTGTGGATTTTGTCCTAAAATATTATTAATATGAAATTATATCAATATCAAAAGCTTTTGTGAATAAACGTTTTTCATTAATATTCAAAAGCTTGGGATGTCATAACCAATACATAAACATAAGCATAATCTAGTCTTTACATGCCATACATCAAATTATTTAATGGCGTAAAACTCGTTAAATCTCTCAGCATATTCAAATATCAATATCCTTGAACCTTTGACCCGTGATACAAATAAAATAAGTGGGTCAAGTTTGGGAGCCTGGTGAGCACATAGGGTTTTCAACTCACAATATTGTAATCTTTTAATTACATATTTCACAACAATCAAATAACACGGTTACTTATTCTTGTTATCCTCACTTCATGATCCTAAAATAATGATCTCGGGAACCTCTCCTAAGTCCTAAAGGATCTTTGTTAACGAGTAAACAATATTGGTTCGGGGATTCCATTAGCAATAAGTGTCAATGAGGAAACCATGTGAGGGGCGGAGTACAACGAATGAATGTGTAATTCATTAACACTTACATGTAATGAGTCTTCCTGTATTCCACATGACTTTCTAGAATAGTTAGTGGTCATCATTTATACTCCTCTAGATGATCGGGCACAATAGTACAAAAGAACCTTGGTCACAACCTCTCATTATTATTTTGCATAGCTCTTCACTACCCCAATAACATTTTAAGTATGATACATATACAATTTAATCAAGTGATACCCATATCATGTTGCACATATATTAAACACAATTAAACAACACACATAATATCTAAGCATTTAGAATACATGTATCTATATGTAAGTTGAAACTAACTATGCACTCACTTGTTAAAGTGGATGACTTGATTTGGACAACGCTTTGCCTAACTCCTTACCCTTTCCTGTGATATGACCTAGGTATAAATATTACTAAGTCTTAGTCTTATATTTCGTGTGACTATAATAACGATAAACTAGATTCATCAATAATCCCAATGAATATTGATCTATAGCTGATAAGGAACAGTCAGGTAAGATCATATCGGAGGTTGGGTCTATTTGGTATACATAGTATACTGTTTGGAAATCCTACTTTAAAAACCACACTAAATCTAGCATAGACATCATTTTCGTAAGTGGATCAATCAATATTATGATTGGAATCACTGATAAATCTTATTTATAGATTTATAATATCGACTATGAATATAAATATAAGTTACACTTGAAGCATAATAACTGTAGCTTAACTTACAAAAATTCTAGCGAAAACCGGGAAAGTCATAGGCAAAACTCCGACCCGAAAGCTTCTCTTCGTCGTGCTCCTACGATATCTCATAGCTTCACTAAAATGCTAAGAAGTTTGGAAAAATTTTGGATTTTAAGAAGGGGGAATGTCTCAGAGAGAATGAGACTTGAGGTGTGAGAAAAATGGCTGAATTCCCAGTCAATTTATAGGAATTTTGGAGAGGTGTGTTGTACCTTTTGGCAACGTTGTTCCTTTGCCTTGTTGTCATGTGTTGAAATTCAGGTAGGCTGCGTCGACTTTATAGAACCTAGGCATGCCGCACCTACCTACTCGAGCGCGCGTGTCGACAATTATGAATTTCAAAATTTGAAAAATCATATCTTTCTCATACGAGATCCGTTTTTACATACTTTATATCTAAGCGTAGCTATCGACGAGTACTACAATTTTCATTTAGACCCCGTCAGCTAATTATCATTTTATTTTTAAGTTTATATTTTTATAGGGCTTAGACTATTAAACTTTGTATAAAAATCATAGCTCTTTCATACTATTTCCATTCTAGGCTGTCTTTATATCGACTAGTTCCTATTCATGAGATCTTTAACTTTCGTTTACATTGTTTTGATTAATAATCAACCCATTTTAATTTCAATTTCAGTGCCCACACTACTGCCCTGAAATTTTGAAAAATCATAATTTCAACATATGAAATCAGATTTGGACGTTCTTTATATGCACCTTCTCACTTTTACGATTACTACGAATTTCGTTTAGATTATTTAGGATAACACAAAACTTCAATGGATCATAACTTCTTCATACAAAGTCAGATTTAAACCGTAACATCTCGAAATTCAGGTAAAGCTATTTAACCCTTCTTCTTTTTCCAAGTTGTCAGTTAAGTCCCTTTAGTAAAAGAGTTAGGCTTGTGAGTACGTTGGGCGTATAGAGGAGTACGCTGCACGTACTCGCGCACTTAATTTGGATGCAGATTCAATTGGGTATGTTGGGCGTAGCGAGCCCAGCTGCAAACCCTAATTTGGGGCTTGAGCACTATAAAAGGAATGTTATGGCCTTGACCTTAGCCTCCATTCCAGAGAGTGAAACCCTAAAAGAGAGTCCTCCTTCGTTTCTAGCTAGTGTGTTGGTGTTCTAAGCTTCTAGGTGTCATTTCAAGGTGGTGGAGATGAACAAGAGGTCATTTTGGAGGCTAGAAGTTCGTGGGAAAGAGTAGATCCGAGCTTTTCAGAGGTTGGAACTTCTTCATGAGGTAAAAAGCTCAAAACTTGCATTGTCTTTTGTGTTGTGTGATTCTTGGACCAATTTCTAGGGTTTTTGGTCCCAAGATGGAGACTTTTATGAGCAAATGGTCTCCATTGGCCTAGATCTATCATATTTCAGGACTATAAGAGTTGTATGTTCATAAAAATGCAATCTTGGACGTACACATTGAGCCATGCAAGAGATCTAGACTTTTGGAGGAAAAAGGAAAGGTGTTAGAGAGTGTAGGGACCTCTACAGCCATGCCAAGGCTTAAAGGTTCTGACTTTATAGGATAAGAGGCTTAAGGAGATCCAGATATGGGAGTTAAAGGAGTGTCTTAACCGTTTAAGACCAAAATCCATGGAATGGTTGAAACTAAGACTTACGATGGGCGTAACTCTCAGTACGCGCATCGTAAGGGGTTGAGACCCCGATTATGGTTCTCCGGCATACGCCCCGCGTACAGAGAAGGTATGCGCCACGTACTGCCCCCTGTTGGTCAACCTTTGGACTTTTGGGTCAGAGAGGGGTAAAATGGTCTTTTACCCTTCTGTCGAAATCATAGAGTGGATTTAATATAGCCTTTGAGAGTCGTTATTTATTTGAGAGTATTGTTATGTGTTTAGGCGGGGACTAGAACAGTGCGTTCGAGTGCAAGATTATCCGAGATACCGAGGTGAGTCTTCTCACTATACTGTACCTAGAAGGGTACCTATGTGTGACCGGAAGGTCTTGTATGCTTTGAGATGTATGTGCTATATATTGTTATGTGATATGTATGTGTTATGTATGTTATGTATGATAAGGACCGGAAGGTCAGGAGGTTACGGACCGGAAGGTCGATACGGGTAGGACCGGAAGGTCTACCCGGATTCGGGACAGAAGTCCCCTGAGACACTTGGATCGGAAGATCCTACAGAGTTATGGCCTGGAAAGGTGTATGTGTTGTATGTGGTATTTTGGGGAACTCACTAAGCATTTATGCTTACAGTGTTGTGTTATGTGTTTCAGGTACTAGTGAGGATCGCGGGAAGGCGCCGTCCTGGTCAGTACACACATGAGGAGTTTTTACATATTATGATCTTGGGATGTAATGGGTTGTTATGTGATACAATGACATTTTTATAACTATTATGAATGAAAGTGTGTTTTAAAATGTGAAAAATTGTTTTGAAATTTACGTCGTTACATAAACGTTCCTTATACCTATAGAACTATCGTTACGACATAAGAGTATTTTATTATAAGAACGACTAGCATCCATGTCAAGTTGAAAAATTGTTGGTGTTTCTAACTAAGGTGGAGTTCTATTCTACATTCTTCATCAACTTCCTAATTGCTAAAAGGAACCAAAATCTTCAAATGTTGTAAATTTCTTCTGTCTTTTGGTTATGTTTTAATCTCTCCAAGCTTTGGAAAATAATCATTGGTGGATAAAATGGTTTTAGTTTATTCAAATTTATAAAATTTTTCTGTTGCTAATTATATCAATTTTGTCTCTAAAATTAAACTATTTTTGAATAAAAATCCAACACTTTGGGCGTTCCATATTGATGAAATAAATGAAAATGGATATACTAAGTAATATTAGACTCAATGTAGCCATAGCTATACGAGACTACAAGCTTAACATAACATGAAAGTAGGAAAGGCACTAACAATACAAATATGATACATGTTGTTTCCTTTTGGATCATTACGCCATGAGATCTTTAAGCACTTCCCCCTTTGTAATAGCCAGCTCACGTAATGCACAAAGAGCTTGGGACCTACGGATCACATATGCTCGGAAAGCCATCTTAATCACCATGACGGCAGCCATACGTGATAACGTCTTCTTCATCTTCTTCTTTTTCTTCTTATCCTTCTTGTTCTTCCTTAATAAATGACGATCATCTACAATGGCAAATGATGGTTTGAAAGTGTACTTACGTGCATACCTCCACCAGTTAGTTGGCATAAAAGCGAGCCCAGGCGTTTCCTACAAAGTTTTATAAAAATGTTAAAAACAACACTAATTAAAATAGATACACAAAAACTTAAAGTCATAATATACAACTATAAAAGTGGTACCTCGGGTAATTCCATGGTAAATGTCGCGTTTTGGGAGTTGTCAAACAAGAAGTTTCTAGTTGCACTAGACATCCTTACTTTGTATGAATCCTCACTCATGTGAGAGTCTATACTCAAGCAAATTAATTTTCCAAAAGGTGATGGAAGGTGCGATAAAAAATCTGGAAATAACGAAAGACACTACACCCACATGTAATATATTATATACATACAAATATATATGTACGTAATGAAACAAAATCAACATATATACCTAGCTACCTCAATTATTTCCACATTAAGTGTTAGATATGAGGCACTACTGAGCTCTTGAAGAATGTTAATAATCTTACGAGCATTTTCAAAATGTGGATAACAATCCAAACATATATTGACTTGGTTTAGGGAGTGAAATTGATCTTTAGACAATTGCAGGGGAGGATCATAACCCTTATAGCACAAAGATGAAACTCCTGATGGAGCATTCAAGTACTTCAATGAAGTGTCAGTTATTGTCAGATTCTCAAGTAGTGGTGCAATCACATTCATGACTTTTACATATCTTCCGTGGATAAGAATGAGATTAGAAAGTCGAGGGGCTACTATGTCAAATACCTCTGCACCACCCACGAGATCGAACCAGCACAAAGTGAGGTTCTTTAAGTTGACACTCTTGGTCAAAATATTATCATGTAGAGAGTCTTTAGTGGTTTTATGAGATACTAATATGAAGTCACTGAGATACAAAGTTGTTAAAGCTGGAAAATCCCAAGGTTTTGTGGGTGTAATGCATGGTGAAATAGAACAGTTACCAAGTGCAAAATGTTTCAACGATTGAGAACTAAATAGGCAAGAAGGGAATTCATGCCGCAAAAAGCAATTACCACCGACTTCTAGTTGTTGGACATTGTGATAGAAGGCATAATTTGCAATCTTTCTCACTAAATCCTCACAAGCTTCTATATGGAAAAGTAGTAGGTTTATGGATGACACTTGTATTTGATGGTTGCGTTTAGACAAAACATTGGTCACGAATTCGGAAAACTTTGGAAAACAACCAAATTCCAGATTTGAGAAATTAAAACAAGGGATTGATGTCCAGACAAGCCTCCATCTTGTTGACAACAAACATGTTTGAACACCAAATTTCATGTCAATACAAGGCAAGATATTACGAATAACCTCATCTTGCTCAGTCTATCTTCTACTTCTTCTTCCGACCTAACATTATCTTCATCAAAATCCATTCTGCAATCTTAGTTTTCTAGCTAGCGATTTCGATCATAATTAAAATCCATATATCGACAATAGGGGATTTTATATTATGTAACCAATAATGGAGCTGTGAAACGAGATTTATTTTAAATCATCCAGTGTCTTGTCTTCTTCGCCCTTAACCTTGAACCAGTTGAAACAAATGCAATGTTCTGGTCGGATAATGGATCTAGAAACAAAATACTATCTCAACGATTTTGCGTCTGTTTAATGGATCTCATCCCCAAAACAGATTATGTCCAAATCATTTGGAAACCAAAATTTTTCGCTTTGTGTCTACTAAATGGATCGATCTCATCCCCCAAAACTGAAATAATTGGATTTCATCACCACGTTTCTATAACAGATATGAAAAAACAAAAACCATGAACCTCTTTGTCTTCTCCGACAATACACTCCCAAACCATTGGTGGAGATGACGCTTAAAAATCGATTTGAATATGCAAAAATAATGATATTTCTTTGAGGGAACGAAAATCAAATTGTTATGAAAAAGTCGTAGAAGACAATTATATATCGAGTTTTGTGTCTGTTCGTAGTCTCTCTTTTTTTAAAGTATTTACGAATCCGTTATAATTCAATTATTAGTTTCTAATTTAATTACCAAAACATGGTGATTTACTTTTTAATAGGTTTAAAGTCTATATTTTTTAATCTTTTTTTACTCTAGAAAATTTATATTTGTCACCAAATAGCATTCAGTTTATAAATTTTTATTTTATTATGAAATAGCATTCTTCTAATTTACATTATATCTTTGTATATCTTCAAATCCCACAATCATATATCATCTTATTCAACTCTTTCTTGCATGTTACTTTCGCTACCATACAATCAAATTAGGATAGGAAATGTCAATTGTCACACGGGACTTAAAAGTTGTTTTTTAGATCGGACCCCAAGTATATCCATAGAAACCCAATTTAATTGAAAAGCTTTTATCTCGAATATATCATAACTCAAAATTTCCTAAAAACAAGAATGAAGATGTTAGATATAGATTTTATGCAAAAACAATCTTGGTTTTAAAGATTGTTGCTTTTTAATCAGAGAAGATCTTGGAGTTTTGTGTTGTCAATCCTTTCAATTTATTTGCTTTTCCATTCATTAGTTGTGTATTTATGTAAAAGGCAACTTAATATAATTTTTATGTAATCCGGGAATGAAAACTTAACGCAATTCTGAACTAAAATCAAATAAAATCTTTAATCTTACAATTTTGTTATTTAGTTAATGATTAATTGACATCGATGTATAAATAAATTCATCATATTCATCTATATTGCCTCCTCTAACAACCAAGTAGTGTTAGCTTTTGAAAGATCTCGCCTACGACCTATGTGAAAATAGTATTTTCTCACAAATTTTTATGCATAAAGACAATCATATTCCATCTCATCTTTGAAAAAAAACCATTTGTATAAATATATTAGGAGTATAATTGATTGTAACATATCAAACTCATTTACTACCAAACATCTATGTATTTCGTATGCTATGAAACTATGAACATCTAGCTCTCTATAGAGGTTAACAACTAAATAATCACAATGATAACAATGTGGTATAAAGGTAACCAATCATCAATGTCTCGTAATATTTAAAGGGTCAACCCCAATTGACTTATAATAATCTTTATCAGCATTCGATACACGCTCACGAAACAAATTCCACTCATTTTGACATCTTTCTCTCACCTGTCATCAAATTTTAAAAACCAAATTGTTAAAACCCAAAATTTAAATTCTAAAATCTTTCAAAAGAAATTACAAACATTACCCCTTGCCATGGTGCTTTCCCATTTTCTCCTTTACCCTACAAATTAAACAACAAAGATCGGTCCATGTTAAACACAAACACATCCAAGCTCATGAGGACAAATATGGAATTTTGATTTTTTTTACCTGATTCCCAAGTGAAGGTAGACCTTGATGAACTACCCATTGTGCATCAACTACTCCAATCTTCTCATGTGCAGGCTACATACGAAACAAATAAACTCAATCGACTTTTCTTGAAAACATGCTGTTTTTGTAAAGATTTTTGTTTTCATGAACTAAAAAAAAAAAAAAAAAAAAAAAAAAATCAAAAGCAAACTAAACGGAGGTTGTTGATTACTTACCTCAACACATTTCTGGAGAGCAAAGTCAAGACCCCATCCATGGATCAAATCATTCTACATTTTATGAATTGAAAAATTAGATACGATTATATTCCATCCAAGATTTTATATAAGGTGAAATGACATGATCATCATCATTTATCATATATCATCATATGTCATTATCATACCTGGATTAAATGCCACACACATCTCCAAGATTCTCGAGAGAAAACCGGAGCCATAATTTCTACAAATCTGTACACATAATTATAAAAACCATGTCATACAAACTATACAATTATTCTTTGAATGTCATTTATGATACCAATTTAACCAAATTTAAAAGTGATTCTTTTAGGGTTTATACGTACGCTGCACATGGAGGCAAATGTGGGTTACTGCACCAACCTGGCTTCTCCTCTGTTACTCTACATACACATAACATTAATACATAAAAAAAATTAGCATAAACGTAAAAAGTTTTCATTTTTAACAATCTTTAGTTACTTTTTTTAACAATAAGCGATTTTTCATAACGAAAAGCTCCAAAAATTGCAAGATTTTATCACTTACTTATGAACTTCACGATCTCCACGTCTCTTCGTCATCTGCCATGTTAAACCCTTACTACTAGAATCCAATCCAGGTTGTGATATCTCTAATTTATGCTTCCTCACAAGCTTAATGTATCTAAAATATATATATAAAAAAAAAAAAAGAGATTATTATACAATTAGGTAAAGTTAATTTAATCAAGAAAAATGTGTCCGACACTCACTCTTCAGCGTTGAAATGATCAACCCCAAGATCTTCATCCCACATAAATATGAAGTCATATGGCGCGACAATGTCAGGGTGAAGGAATCTTTTCGCATACCACCTTTAAAACGAAGCACACAAATGTTCATAATCATAAAGTCAAAATCAAAGTCAAAGATATGAAATTGACGTAATGGGGATAAATTAAAGGGGTAAGAAAAGTTGTTACCATTTTGTTTGCTTTGCTACACTTATATGAATAGCACGCTTTGACCATTCAAATTCATCCCATTCTGTTGTTCGACCATCATAATGGAAGAGAAGGATTGTAAAATTATCAGAAAACTTTTTTACTGCTTTATCGATGTTATATCTTTGATTATAACCAACAGTTAAAGTTAAAAGATACTTCGGTTTTCTCTTTAGGTCCTGCGAATGCAAATGCATAAGGCGCATTACTTTCAAGAAACTACTTTTTTTCAATCTTTTTATATTTTTGTTTTGTGGGTCCCGTTTATAAGGTACTAAAAACGAGTCGTTAATCTTCGGATTTGTTAAAAAAAAGATAAACAAACCTCACTAGGTTGACCATATAATCTACGAGGATATAAATCTGATTCAGAAGCAAGGATAGCTGGTGGTAGTCTTTCTGCACCTCTAGGGTTAGATGACACCCAAATCTACATCAAAATTTTCGTTAAATAATCAATACGCATGTCATTGGATCTTGTTAGGTCGAAAAGAGTAAACTTTAACAAAAAAAAAAAAAGGGAAAATTATAAGCAAATAATAATACCTTTGATGGATGAGGAAGGTTTCCTGCTCCCTTTGAGATTTTATCCCTTGTGACAGATATCACATTTAAGATTGTTTGTGTAGAGTGGCCTGAATTTTTGTCCCAAATGTAGGTATCGATAGGAGGAATGAGTTTAATCTGTGAAATTTTAAACCAATTAAAACTTGTTATCGAAGTAAAAATAATCCAAAATAGTGGTTTTTTGAATGACTTACATTTGATGGTGAATAAGCTGGAAAGGATGCGCCAATGAAGAATCCAAAAAGAATACCAACTGTGATTGTTAAAATAAACCTCATATACTCGTTTGATTTCCTGAAAGTTTCATTATTTGGATATAAATAAACATTAAAAAATAAAAAGAAGAATAAAAGATTCAACAATGATGAAGATCAATTCAAACCTTCGAATAGTCGTGGAGTTTCCCTTTCTTTTACTTTCTTCAAAATTCATATTAACAAGAACAAATTAAGCTGCAAAATTACAGCTTTGACCACAAGGTAAAACCTGAAGAAACTCATAAAAGAGTACGAAGAATTATTACAACTATGAACTTAAAGCAGAAACGTAAAAAACTTCAACTACCCAAAAAAAACAACACGAATGAAAGATCAAGAACAAGTGTCGCAGTGGGAACAAACTCACAAAGTGTGATTTGTGACATAATTCTTATAGTGAACTGAATTCCATACAAGAAAAAGACCAATTTAATTGCCTACAAAACACATGTGTTTCCTCCTTCAATTTCATCCACATATTCGGCAATTGAACCAATCATGTGCCTACTTTTACCAAATTAAACATGCAATAGTTGGATTTCCTCAGCACCCATCATGAAAAAAAACTATATTTCCAAAATAAAATCTTACAACACCCCACAGAGATGAAGTAGATAACTTAAGCGATAATAATCGTTAAGAGCCCTAATCCGTAAAGATGAACGAAAACGTGTTTACGTGCTTACATTCAGAGATTAAAGCAATGAAAAGTTTATAAGATCGTTGAGCTTGACCCATACAAGTAGAACTAATTTGTACCTGAGATTGTTCTTGAGATTGAACACCAAGAATAGTTCGAGAAACCAAACGTAGGTTGAAGAGCTTTAATCTCGAAGATTTCCTTACTAAAAATTCGATATACGAAAGTGATTGTCGAGAGACAGATTCTCTCGTGGCGATTTTTTTGAAAAAAAATCGCGGTTTTAAAGATTATTGCTTTAACTGGAGAATAATCTTGGAGCACTGGATTCTGAATGCTTGAAATTATTCGCTTTTTTTTTCTTTGTAGAAAGGGTTTTAAGTAGGTATTCAGGTTTCCAGCAATCGAAATAATCTTCTTCGTAAAGACCAAAAACTGCTTCTTTCCGCGTTTTGTCGACGAATTTCGTTTTTTTGAACAGACTTGTTGTCGACCAAATTATTTCTTGGCCTTTTTTGAATTCAACGATTTTGAATTTACAATGAGACTTTTCTTGATTTACTTTATACATAAATGTACTTGTTGAATGCATGAAACTTTTGGATTGTATCTCAATATAAAGAAAAAAAAAAAAGACGATTTAATTAATTTATATCTATTTTTAAAAATTAAGAATTTACATCAAATTGCTCTACAGTACCAGATCGACTTTTAGTTTTTTACTTTAAAAATAATATACCAAAGACTATAAAACATTTATTGGAGCAATTTAATTGTGAAAATAGGATGGTGTGGTTAGGTGGTCCAATTAATTACATGCAGCTAAAAAAAATTTAAGATCATTACTATGATTATTGATTATTCTCTTAAAATCCGACAATAATTTATTAAGCAGATATTTGTTTTTCTAAAACGGGGAAACAAATATTAAATAAAACCAATGTTTAAATATACGTTCCAAAAGGAGGCTTGCTAAAAGACATACCATTATTTCATCGAATATATAAAGCGTAAGTATTGCTCTAAATAATAAAAAAAAATATCATTGATAACTTGTAGAAAAAAAACGGAACCTATGAATATCCGTACGAGAAAATCATTATATAAAGCGCAAGTATTGTTCTAGATGATAAAAAAAATATCATGGATAACTTGTAGAAAACAAAAAAACGAAACCTATGAATATCCATACGAGAAAATCATGGTGGTTTCGATGGTAAGTTTGACGGGTGTAGAATTAGCCCTTTTAAATAAAATATATCAGAAATCTCAATAAGAAGTAAATGAATAAATCCATAATGAGTAATTAAAAAGGTGACTGAAGGTGTAAAACTTTTTAAATATATATTCATTGTGTATTAAATATTATCTTAAAAAAAAAAAAAAAAGTACGAATATGCGATCTAAAGGCACATTTATGATTCGTCAAAGTGAAGAATAGTTGCAATTGACGTGTCTAATGGAGGGAAAAGGCTTTCAGCCATATGCATCGTGTTATTTGGGCTTAAGCCTGGTGCCACGTGTCTAGACAGTATTTAATGATTGGTCGGAGGTTGGACTAAAACTAAATGAGTGGACGAGTTTAGTACACTAGGCAATTTGTTTGGTTAACGACTTTCTTTGTTTTCTAGGCGTGTAAAACCGATCAACCACTTTTTATATCACTCGTATTTCAACCCAAAGTTTTTTTTTTCCAAGGCGGAATTAAGGAATAAGGATATTATTAGGGACCAAATATCAAACTTGAACCAGTATTGAACAAAATCCAAACTGATTTTAGCCATTCGGTTCCACCTTTTTTTCTAAAATAACCGATCCTAAATCAGGTGTCAACAGCCGCTTATATTTCATTTACATACATTACACGTGTTTATACATACACAAAAACACTAGTTCAATTGTTAACTCCACCATCTTTTGTTCGTTAGCTATGGTAAACCTTTTGTTACATCTTGGTTACTCGAGTCTCTATAGATAATCCTATAAAGCTTTAAGAAATTGTCATAAAAAATCCTTAAGTTTTCCAAAAAAATATCGGTTATACCTTTAGACGAGTTTTTGGTGTAATAAAGTCGGTTACTTTCATTAAATGTTTTAAATATCTCATTTAAGGGGTTGCATAAAATGTTATTTCAGTAATGTTGGATGATCAATTTCTGACAATGGAAACTTGCAGTACAAGTTGGTTTGTTTTAGATTGAATTAAAATGGTAATTGGTATGAATTTGGAGTACAAGATGGTTTGTTTTAATGTTTGTATATGCATAAAATGTTATTTCAGTATATTGAATTAAATGGTAATTGGTATGTATTCGCACCTTTGCATAAAGGTACATTGCATAAAATGCTCCCTAAAATGATACATTGCAGAAACAATTTGTGAATGGTAACAATTGTTAACTATTTTACTAACTAAAAGATTGCATAATGGTACATTGCATAAAATGGTCCCTAAAATGGTACATTGCAGAAACAATTTTGTGAACGGTAAAAATTGTTAACTGTTTTAGTAACTAAAAGATTGAACATAACATAGAAGGGGGTGTATCCATTACATAAAGTTTAATTACATACTACTAATATTTAGCATCCATCCATTTGTACCAAAATTCCTAAACAATTCACAAAAAAGGCAACCTAAATGGTAACAAAATAACAATTGGATGCATGATGCAATCAGTGAGTGTACGAATGTTACTATACCAAAATGCCAAAAAAAAAAACAAAGTTTACAAAATTGGCAACCTATATCATTCCCACTACACCCCTATCCCACTTCTTCCTAACAAACTACTCCAAGTTGATTGGCTTTACAGGAGAAGAACCACCACCATCTTTATCATAGACACCCTTCCTTAACTTTATCTAGGTAATCCTCTCAAATGTTTTCCTTATTCTCCTAATCATTGGACAACCTCATGTCCTCCATCATCACCCTGATTTCCCTCATCGTTACCAATTCCTCAACACCACCTTCAGGTCCATCACCATCATCAACATCTCCAAGACCATGACCTTCTTCATCACTATCACCAATATCTTCATCTCCAGGTCCATCACCATCACCTTCAGGTCCAGCACCATCACCAATAGCTTCATCTCCAACACCTTTATATCTATCATCCAAACCAACACCATCATCAGAGTGATGACCATCAATGAAATCATTTACATCCTTGTGTAAAAAGATATAATTAGTTCACAACAATGACCAGAAAAAAGGTTAATTAATAAAAGATAATAGGTCTTACCAGTTCAACTGGTGGGGAATCATCCAATTCCACTTGTACCCCTGGTATAGCTTCTATTTCTATCATGCTATAACCAGCTTCTAGCATATTAGCAATGTCTAAAAGCCCTAATTGTATATTCTCTGGGAGAATAGCCTCATGTTTGCCCTCAATAAACTCAATTACCTTGTTATCGTCCACCACATTATCATCCTTAAGTGGACTAGAGTTTGTGAAGTTACCCCATTGTAAAATTGCATCAATACCTTGTTCAATTTCATCATTTATTGATTTAAGTTTCCAACCAATACTGGATCCTACTTGCCCAAAAGTGTCACTACCTTGCATCACAATTGTATGACTAGTACCTCCTTCTTACATCATATGACCATCTTGAATATGAATTACTGGAACGTCCTGCACAACACCTTCTTCTTGTACCACACCTTCTTCTACAATAGTAGGAACTTCTACAACTGGAACTTGTTGAACCACACTTTCACCCATATTATAACCTTCTTGCATGACATTTTCACCCATCGCATTTTCACCCTCATCAACAACTTGAACTTGTTAAACCAAACTCTCTTGAGACCTATATTTGGAGTATTATTCCTAGTTTTTGTAGAGCCAATCCTCCCACCATCTCTCCTTGTGCATAACTTCTTCCTATGAACATCAATAATATTTCTCCTAACTCTTTTAGAACCTGCCTTGTCACAACTAGAAATTTTATGTCTTGTAATCACTATACTCAAGTAAATGTTGAATTCAAAAACTCAAGAGCATGTATGATGCTTACTCAATGGAAAACTAAACCCCAATTCACTACATCAAGCAATTGGAAAACCCTAGAAGTTCTTGATTAGGTCTATTTTGGGACTAGGACTTCCTTATTGGACCTAAATGGACCAATAAGCTTCCAATTTGACTATTATGGGCTTAGAACCCTTAAATGGGCTCTAATTGGACCCACATCTATTTATTTCAACATTTTGGGCCATATTGGGCCTAGAATGAAATAAATTCAAAATTTTGAACCATGATTAACCTAAACTAGCTCAACAAAGTGTAAAAATCATATTATATTTTTTTAGGTTAAAACTCATCCAACTTAATATACACATGGGCTTGTGGGCATTAAAGCCCAAATTTTCCCTTTTTCCCTCAAATTCTCGGCCCAAGGCCCAAGCCCAAGAAGAAATGAAGAGGGTTGACTTGTAAGTGACACCTCCTTATTACTTTTGGATCTCCATGCAATCCATTCCATGTATCCATGCACATCACTTCATGTCTATTTCTCCCTCTCTCTTCTTGTTTCGGCCGTGAGCAACACACACACACAAACCTCACACAAACTCTCTCTAGATCACTCAAGACTTCTCTCTTCCTCTCCATCTAAAATCTCGAAATTGCTTGTGATTCAAGTGGATTCTTCAAGATTATCATCATCCTTTGGTAAGTTTTTCCATGTCTAAGCTTCAAAACTCCCCCCTCACATGAGATCTCTTAGTCTAAACAAGTTTCTTTGGTGATCATACTCCTAGAAAACTCCATAAACTCGAGATCTTCATCAAGGGGTGCTAGGGCCGAAAAATCACTTCATTTCTTCCATCCTTCTTCAATAACGAATCAACACCCAAGGTGAGCTTCATACCCCCTTGTTTTCGGTTTTTATAAGTTTTTGTGGGGGAGAATACAAGCAAAGGTGTAGATCCATCATTATGTGTATGTTTTGGTTGATTTCTATGCTTATATGTATGTTTTGTATGATTTTGATGCTAGATCTAGTTATGAATTGCTAAAAACCGAGATATATCTTATACTAGCATGAAATATATTACTACATACAAAGTATGCCAAGAAAAATAGCTAAGTGGCTTAACAATACATACTTTTGGGCTAAAAACTCATTTTTTGACATAAATGTTTAAAAATACAAAGTTAAAGGGCCAAAAGGAATATTTCGAAATCTGATGGGTGAGATGAGTCAAA